AAAAATTAATATAATTTCATCGACGCTATCGTTAGTTATTATAATGATCACGTATAATTCAAGATTAAATCTTATGCATGATGTAACATGTTTGAAAAATTAAATTATTATGTCAAATTTCTGTTTATGATGAAATTCATATGAGGTATGCATAGAATTTAATTAGATTATTTTGCAGTTATTCGAAGTAAAAAAAGCATTCATTTGTTCAATTTGTGTCACAATATTGAGAGAAAAATTTAATGAAAAATATGTTTCTACTTACTCGGACGAAGATAATTTTCGTTTGCGCTCTCCTGTATTGAAGCTTTCTAAAGAAGCTTGGTAATCGGCATACCTTTGTAATTTATAGGTACTCGTTTTAGCTAGAACTTTCATCACCTCGTTGACTTGATCCCGACGATGTAATTCTATGTATGCGGATATATCACTTAACCATGACACATGCACACTTCCTGTAATATAAATGATTTTAATTCTATTAGTATTCATTCTATTTGTATAAATAAAGATAATTATATATTATTAAATAAAAAGGATTAGAATACATATTTACATACTTACCAAATGGACTAAACAAGTGAGATATGTCATTAAATTTCCACTCTTTTGGGAATGTTAAATGGAATACATGGTCTCTACTTGGATTAGCTAAAAGAATAAAATATAAATTATTAATATAATTCAATTAAAACTTATGAATAAAATAATAGAATTAAAGAAAGATGTTTACGATCGTCTCCAACAAGATTTATATACGGTACATCTTTTAATCTTGCTATGAGAAGTCTGAAACAAAATTATAAATTATATAATATTGTAATAAATATATTGAAAGATATTAAGTATAATAGAAAAAAACCTACTTATTTAAAAAAGGATTGAGTAAAGGTGAATCCGATAAAACTATCGGCACTTCAGGTTTTTGTAAGGTACCTGAAAAGCAGAAAGTGTAATTAGAATAATTTATATGTGATGCTTGTATAATATTGTGCTAATTACTAACCAAGATAATTGGACAATGCAATGAAACATATTCCAGTTATATATGCATCGTAACCAGCCTCGTGACATTTTTCTGATAATGTAGAATAACTTCTACCATCGGTAGGTTCCACTTCTGTAATTTTAAACGGTGATTTACTAACAGTTTCTAGTAATATACCTAAATTCGACGATGGTATATTTTCCTTAAATTGCTGCGAATGGCAAATTATTTTTGTATCTAAAATTCTACAAAAAAAATGTCATATAATAAGCACGTTTATCTAAATATTATACAAGTATTCAGAAAAATAAATATTGAAAATTTTTACCTTGGAAATAGACTATGAACAAGACTCTTAAACTCCAAATATGATTCCGGTAATTGTCCAAAAAATTGATGTACTATATGACAGAGATCTAATAACATATTATGACCAACTATTAATTTTCCCTAGAACAAAAATGTACTTTATTATAAATTATATTTTATTTATTGTATAAATCATTAATACAAATAACTAAACGTACGGAATCTGCAATTTTCCTCATAAGAATACTTAATCCAACTGCTTGTTGAATTTCTGTCTTTTCTCTTTCTCTTTTCTCAATCTCTCTTTGTTCTTCTTCTTCCTTAGTTCCTAATCTTTGTACTACAAGACTGCATCCAAAATTGTTCATTTTACTTTCAACTTTTAATTTGTTTGGCCATCTTAATTTTACTTCCTGATACACGAGTCGTCTAATGAAAGCATTACATTTTTCTATCAATAGTTCTTCTGTTTCGGAAGTGACAAATTCATCTATCCTCGAACTAAAATGATTTTCAATTAATTTTTATTATATTAATACAAAGAAAAAATATTAATTGATTTACCAAATCTCTTCAATCTGAGGTCTTTCGACGTCCGAAATAGGCAATATTTCTGCTGCTTCATCTCTTATCCTTTGTTTTTCCTCTAATCGTTTCATCAATTTTTCTTCTTCATTTGCGGTTAAATAAGGAATGCCCAATTTGAAAAGTTTATTAAAATCGAATCCTTGTGACGCTAGAAATGATATACTGGAAGTTTGACACATGAATCTACAATCTGGAGCTGTACGATTTAACGGACGTGGAAAAACATAAAAATTATAGGATCGTTGATTATACCTTTAAGAAAAAGAAAAATTATTAGTAAAATAATTTTATAATCAATTTTAAAATTTTTATTAAAAATAGAAATTAATTTCATACTTTTGCATTTCTTTATTAAATGTAAAGACAGAAAGGCCAAATTGTATAAGAAGAAAATCCATTGATCCTGTTCTTAATTTTGCATAATACTGAGCAGGTGTATCAAAGACACCGGCATCAGGTCCTGAATTAAGTCCTGTAAATTCTCCATCGATACAAAGAAATGTTGCATTCTTCAAAATTTCATCTAATTCCACTAGGACCTCTTGAAAATCTGTAAAAAAAAAAATATAAAATTTTAATTAAATTTTAGAAAAAATATGTATATGAATATATTTCAAATAATTTTTATGAAATTTAAAATTATTATTTAAAATTATTATATTATAAAATAATAAAAAATATGATATTATTAAAAATATTTTATAATATTTATAATATTAAATATTGAATATTTATTTTAATACTTGTATTGACTTAAAACGTAAAGTTAAATTTTGCGATTATATGTACAGAAATATTTTTCATGATTAGAAGTTGGTAGTAGTGTCTTTGCAATCTTTGAATCTAATGCGTTAATCTACTGTGAATTCAATAATTATTAACGAATAAATGTTATAAATAAATAAGTAATTAATTCTTAAAATGTGTTATTTATATAGTGTTATATGTAAAACATGTGTATAAACATTTGTGGAAGTATAATTCGCAATAATATCAGAAATTTATAAATTCATAATCACTTCCTGACGTCAATCAAGAATTTTTCGCGCGGAAATTCTTTAAGAAAGAAGATTCGAATGGTAAGTAAATTTTTATTCTTATATTATTTAAATATTATTGTTTAATTATTAAAAATGATATTCAATTTTAATTGAAAAATTGAAATATAAACACTTAAAATATATTTTTTTTGAAAACAATTCAATTACAAGTTAGATAATAATTTATATAAACAAAATTTAAATGTTTAAATTTAAAAAAAAATTTAATTTGAAAAAATTATGAAACATGTAATAAATAAATATAATAATAAAATTTTTCAAATTTTTGAATATCATATATCAGCTAAAATGTTAATTTTATTTAAATTTCCACAATCATATAAAATAAGAATATTTATAAAATATGACATTGATATAATATCGTAAATTATTAAAATATTAAAGTATAATATTATAAAAACATAAATTATTAATTCTGCTATTATCTATAAATAGATTAGTTACTACTTTTAACAGGAACAGGAGTAGGTTACAAAGTGAAAAAACCATATTAATATAAAAAATTAAATTTATATTTCTCATAATTTGTGCAAGCAATATATAAAATAAAATTTAGCAAAGAAATATTATTATTTTTTAATATCATAGCTATATGATATTAATATGAAATTTATTTTATTTATATTATATATTTTATTTATAAATGATTAAGATAGATAAAAAAAAAAAAACGAAAATAAATAAAAACAATACATTTCAAAAAATTGATTAAATCTAATATTAATATTATGCATTTTACAACATTATTTTATTATTAATATTTATCTTTATTAGTAATATTATTCTGAAATTATTATAATCATAAATTGTTAATTATGCCTTTCGTTTCTTTCTTACGTATGTACTTCAAATGACATTTATATGTTGTTTCTTAACCTCTTGTGCTTGCAATGTATATCATGACAAAAACATATATTTTCTTCAAAAATCTTCAATTAACAACAATCTCATTTTAAATACTATTGATTCCATCTTAAGAATATTTTGTCCATTATACGAATTATTATATATTTATTATATATTTTAATAAATATTATAATTTTTTGCTTATATCAAAACCATAACCTAGAAAGCTACAAATTCTATATGATTCTATTTATAGTGAATCATATTACCTGTCAAAGAATACGAAAAATAATGTTTTGTAAGCCATTTTCATCACAAATTTATAAATTATAAATTTATAATTATATTATAATATAAAAATAATGAAGAAAAGTACACAACAATAATAGTGTAGATTATGTGAGAAAGAAAGACCTTATTTTATGTATCTTAACATTTTCCTCAAAATTATTTCCATTTCTATCATATTTAGAAAACAATACATATATACAAAGAAACTTTTCATTGTAAATTAATCATATAGAAAGTAGAACATTACGAATACATATCCCGTTCTCAATTTCATTACAAAGACTGATAGTATAAATTATGTATTTATCTTTTCCGATTACTCACTCGAAGAAGTCACTTCCATTTTTTTTTAATCTTGCACTTGTTAATCCACACTCAACCTATAACGAACGTCTTTTATTTCATTCCCGAAACTGAAATTAAACACGAAAATTAACAGGATCCATTGATCCTATGCGATCTTTTCATACTTGACCACATTAAATAGATAGGTTAGAATGAGAACTCTAATGATAAAAATAGCATCGTGTATGAGTTGCCATCTAGAGTAGAATCAACGCACTACAACCTTATGCTACGTTCATTGATAGTTGAAAAATGTAACTAACAAATAAAAAATAAACTTAATTTTTAATATACATGCATATAAAAAAATATAAATATAAAAATATTAGCAGAAAATAAATACATTATATGCAAAGTTTAATACTATTGGATTATTATTCATATTTTATAGTTCAGCATATTTATTTTTATTTATTTTTTCATTCTATTTCCATATAAGTTATTAAATATTTAATAATTATCATAGGAACTATATCATACTATTTTTAATATATATTTTTTTAAAAGATTTCTATAATAGGTAAAATAGATGAATAAAATAAAAGCTTTGCAAACTTTTAAATTTTTCAATTTGTATTATTTATATGAAATATTTTATATACGTATAAATATTTACGGAAACATATCATTAATATATTGATTTTTAATCTAAATATTTCGATCACTATTATTTTTATCTATTTATTTTCTCTATATAAATATATATTAATTATTACGGTGTTATTTAGATATTAAAATGTATTTGAAAACAAAAAAAAAAAGTTGAAAATGAAATTTAAATAAAATTTATTATTAATTATTAAGAAAATTTTAAAAGAGGATCAGAATTACGTCCCTACGTAAAAGTAGGATGAATCATAGTTAAGTCTTCACTCACTTTTCTTCATATCCTACTAGGGAATTTTATTAAATTTATCTTTATATAGAAAAATATGTGCTTGCTACCACTAGCGAGAAAACAAAAGAAGAAACGTAGCCTAGTGTCATATTCTAGAACTAACATAATATGATAATATTATTATATGATATATATATTATATATATTACAATATTTTTTTCTACATTGTTAGATTATAGATTAATATCTCTTGTTACTCTATTGTAATCATTCAAGTCTTCAAAATTTTACTATTTTTTAATAATAGATATATTACAAATATACATAATTATATTAATAGATATGTTAAAATATTAAAGTACTAAAAATATATTTTTAATTCTCTCTAAGAACAAAGAAAAATTCTCTTCCATTATTCTAATTGCCTTCTATAAAAATATACATTTGCATAAACATAAACATCCAGTCATAAATGTTTTATGAAATCACGTGTAACATCGTTTCTAGAATAGCAAGAAAATTCTTTCGAATAAAATTTAAGACAAATTACATCCGATCAATTCTTCAGTGAAATAACCGGATAGATTGGTCCAATGGGCTTGGAATCTTCGTACAATACTTTTACAACGTACGTATATCGTACGTTTACCTTAAGCTTGAAAAATTTCGCTTTCTCGTCGACGAATCATTCAATCTGTAATTCGTCGAAATAAAGAAAACTTCTTTTGTATACTTTTTTTTTCAATCTATTTAAAATTTATTTATTTACTTTTCCAAAATTTCTAACGATAACTTTTAATACCAAAAATTATTTTCAAGAGTAAAAATATTGGTAAAAAATTTAGGTTAGCAAGATATCATAAAAAAAAAATCATAGTATTTGATAAAGTAAGATGGAAATAGAAAATTCAATCATATCGGCAAACAATTTGCAGTGATAACAAGCGGATGTTCCGCAATTCGTTACTTCCGCACCAGAACTAATTAAAGCGAATTGAAAGGTAATTGAATTAAGCTTTCAATCGTTATCTCCCCGAGATGTGTCCCAGTCTCGTGGGCTGCGAATCGTTTCCTTCAAATGGTTGGCCGGACGAGAAGATTGGAAGAACAATACTTCGAAATAAAAGCGGAGGACAAGATTCGAAGGATCCAATTTAGAACGGAATACGCCTATTCGAGATTCTTTCACAATGCCAATTTCTTTTCTTCCTAGAGGGTCGGGCCGTTTTTGGGGCGGCTAATAGTTTCTGATCGAGTTCCCGGCTCTGTGTTTGTCATTCATTATTAATTTATCGAACCAGCTTAGAGAAACGCTCCTATTCTCCCCGTGTATCGATGACGATCGATAATACGTCTTTTTAAAATTTATAAATCAATTTTATAAAATTATGTTCGTTCTTTAAAAAAAAAAAAAAAAAATATTTTTATCAAATTTTCATCTTCATTGATGCATTCCAAATTTTCCCTAACGAAAATATAGATCGTTGTCCGTTTCGTTTCAATTGAAATTGAAAACTTGTCTAAATTAAATTCGACCATCGAGTACCTATTAAAGGCAAAATGCGATTACAATCGATGAAAGGTTTAATACCTTGTAAGAAGCTCTCGATGCTCTTCGAGTATCCCCAGAGCGCATTATTTTCGTTCGAGCTGTTTGGAGATATCAGGGATCCCCACGACCCCACGACTCTCTATCGGGTGTCCCGTAATTTATACGTCCACTCGAAAGAAAAGTTGCGCAAGGTCCCGATAAGAAGCCATTTTTCATTTTGCCCGCGAGCGAGAGAGCGACGAAAGCCAGTCGGTTCGAGTGTAGGAGGGACGAGAAATAAGGAAGAGGAAGAGGAAGAGGGAGGGGCGGGCCACCCTTCGAGATTTCGCACCTTTCGCCAGAGGGTCGAAACCTTTTTTCCCCGAGACTTAATTTCATTGTGTACCCCCCCGTCGACGGTTATTCTTATTATTTTTCTCCTTCCCTCCCCTAAATCATCAATTTCCCTTATTAGGTGTATTCCTGATTAGGAAAAACATCCCTCCCCCCTCCCTCGTTTCTCAAG